TGAGCCAAGTGGTGGGCGAGGAGTTCAGCACGCTGCACTGCCAGGAGGGAGCAGCAGTACAGTCACTGGTCCCAGTCTCTTGCTCCCCAGAGATCAGGAGGGAGGATGACTTAACATTGCTTGGTTAGTGTCTGCAAGGAAGGCAGCTCTTGCACACCATTTAGAACAGTCTTTCTGCCTAACTGAAGACCGGCATTTTGTGGCTTCAACTAGTGTTTGCATCTTCACAATTCAGAAAAATGCGTTTGAGTAGTGCGGTGTCACACAGAGGAAAGTGAAGGGACAGGGCCTCTAAGCTCATTAGTAGACACTCAGGCACACCAGCATAGACAACCCAAGCAAAGATATCTGGTGTGTCAACCACAGCCTGAAAAAAAAGGAGGCATTACAAAAGGAGCAATTGATTTACTGGGGCCACCCAGGTCCTTCACTAGTTGCAAGAGCTCTTCCAAACTAAGACTTCCACATCTCCTAAGCTGGCTGCTGCCGACTGGACTCACGGGGCTTGAAGCTCTGCTTTCACTGATCCCTACCACCACTTGTGGGACTCAAGCACTTTTGTACTGTGGAGCCTTAAGTGGCTTCAGGAAATGTTCCCAAGACCCACAGGCAACAAATACAGCTCCATTTTCTAAACAAGCAAGGACTTGTAGAAGGCCAGCAGAAACAAGTTGGGGATTTTTATATTTTCCCAGGAATCAGTGTGTCTTGTTCCTTGGATGACACCTTCCTCCCTCCCCTTCCTAAGGAAAAAACTTAGAAGGGTTTGGAGAACAGTGGGGGGAACTGAGTACTTTTGAGCTGTTTCTTTGTAGAAGTTTCTGATAGGACATCATTTCTGCTTTCAACAGTGATTGTATAAGGCAAAGAAAATAGAGATGCTGTCATCCTACAGTTTCTTTCCCTTGTGTGCATCAGATTTCCTAGATCTGTGTCAGGAAGCAGTTTGGGGTAATTTGTTTAATTTACATCTCATCTCCTGGTTCTCTAAGGATTCCTGAGGTTTAGGTTTCCTGAGTTCTCAGAGAGCAAATGACTGTTTTGGCTTTTTCTCTTTTCCATTAGGTTGAAAAAAAAAAAAAAAAAAAAAAGATAAAACTCACTGTAACTGTAATGCATGGTTTTCAATAAGTAGCAAAGGCAGTCAGTCATATTTCCTTTATTAACCACAAAGAAAAAAAAAGGACAAGGGATGATGCTGTGCAAAGGCACTGGGATTGATCTAGGAAAATGCAAGAGAGGGGACAAAACCAGAAGATTTGGGAAGGGAAAGGGGAACTATGCCCACATGGGGGGAAAAGGGAAAGGGGATGGCAAGACCTGGGGATGGGAAGGCAGGCTGGAAATCGTGGGGGAATAGGGCTGCTTCTGTGGCTCAAAGTCCTAAATGAAGGGACTCACATGTTTCCCTTAAATTGGAGAGAACAGCAGTTCTGTTGCCAGTTAACTTGATACAGACATACTGTCAAAGGAATATTTGTGCTCATGGAAAAACCCCAGCGATGGCTGCAGCTGCATTTTTAAACAGGGCTCTGTTTCATTGGCATGAAAGCTGGACACTGCACAGAGGGACAGCATAGGCAGGGAGCAGAGGTGTCTCTCCCTCTCTGATTTGTGCCTGGCTTAACCTGAGTGAAGCACTGTGGCCTGGGCTTGCTACTCCCCCCTAGGGTAGTCTTGCACCCCAGAGAGTTAAAGCTCAGTAAAGAGTAGCTTAGCTTTGTTTAATTCACATCCCATTGACATTAACAAGGTCATAGAGTGCTTGCTTCACTGGCTTCTAAACTCTCTGGGATGGAGGCCCATGTTGTGTGTTGGGAATCACATGTCCCCATTGTGGTGTGCAGAGGGCAACACAGTCAGCCCCAGTAGTAGGAGGGTGAAATCCAAAAGAGGGGGGGTGGGGGGGAAGGGCATCACTGTTCAAGTGGAGACATCTGATGTGGCTGCCAGTGGTGTCAGCTCAGATACAGGTCTGTCAAGAGAGGAGAACAGGGGATGTGCTGCTCCCTTGTCTTCACAGCTCATGAGACCAGACCATGCTAACAGCAGAGATAGATTCTCAGAAAACTTCACAGTCTCCTACAAATCCAACCTGATCTTTGGCTTCTTTTGTGTGGTGAAGCAGCACCTTCTTTTGTGTGGCTACTGTGACCTTTCTCCTGGCTTTTACAAACCCTGCAGGTGGACAAGAGATATTACTAAACCCTGGGTGAGTGTGCTCAACCTTTAACTCTTTTCTGGTCATGCCTAGACAGGAAAGACAAAGCTGGAGCGGGACTGATTAGGCAGATTCGAGGCCCAAATGCTGAGAGCTTTCCTGGGAGCTATGTGAATATTTACTCCCGTGACATGGTCTCATAGCTCACATCTCCCACATGTTGTATTTTTCCAAGAAGAAAAACTCCAGGCACAAGCACCTACAAGATGTACCGTGTGGCTTAGGACACTTCAGGATGTATGAAGTATAGTTTTTCTATTCTATCCTCAATTCTGCTTCTACTGTACCTTGGTACCATTTTTCAAGGGCCAGCTAGTTCTGGCTCAGTAATCCTGGAAATGGACAGAAGAATAGACCAGAAAGGTGACAAGGACAAAAACAATGAAACCCCCTCAGTCCTTGCATGGCAGTTACAGCCCTTTCAGGCCAGGGATGGTGAGACAGCAGCTGGGTTGGACTCATAATACTCCCGGGAAAGCTCAAGAGACACCCTTGTGTCATTTTGTTCTTTCTCCAAACCTCTTTAGAAACCTGCTGCTTCTGCAGCTGTGTCTCCTGACCAGATATGAAGGAGTTAAAAGGATCCAGCAGGGCAGAGAGAGGAGTCCCACAGTTTCTGAGAGGAGAAACTTTGAGTTGCTGCCAGTCAGTTCAAGAGGGAGCAGCAGGCAGTCATTTTACTGCCTTTCATCTGGAGCTGTTTTGGTATTTGTATTTATTTTTCGCTTTCTTTATGTCTTTCTCCTTATTAAAAAAAAAAAAAAGAGGAAAAATAAAAGAAAATGGGATAAAAGGGAACAGCTCTTGTCTTCTATTAAGTTTGAAGGTAAGGGAATCAGGATGCAAATTAGCAATAACACATCAAAACAGAAATGGTGATAACATGTAGTTAAGTTTGCTAAATTGCTCCTTCAGCTCTGGGGGTAAGACAGGAGTGTGGAAGTTCAGGAGTCTGAAAAGGAGCTGAGATTTGTATTTAACTTTCAACTAAGCAGCAGCAGAAAGAAATACTCGGAGACGCTTAAATGCATGAGTGGAAACATATGCTAAGGCCTTGAGCTCAGGAAGCAACAGGAAGGACTGAGGGATGCCTCAGAGGGGCATTTCTGTGGATGTGCCCTCTTCTTCCACAAATAAAGACATAGTAGGGAACATGATTGTTGACTTTTCAAACTTTTAACAGTAATGAGGAAAACTCAAAAATCTAGCCAGGGCATTGTGAGCTTCAATTAAGGTTCCCATCCCTCCATCACCCTGTTGCTTACCCTGTTTGGGATGCATTGATCTGGGCTTCAGATTCCGATAAATGATCACTCTGCCATCCCCAGCTGCTGGCTGCTGCTGGTGTCAGGGCTGCCTCATTACTGAACTCTCTTCCTAGGTGCTCAGAGATGGCTACTGCACCGTTATGAGAGCCACAGATCAAGAAAAAATATTGTGCTCGGTTATTTTTGCCTCCTTTAAGACCTATTTTCTCTCTTTGTTTCCATCTGTCATTTGCTTCAGCTACTACTGGCTTGCCAGTACAATGTCTCTTCCTTGTCAGAGATAATCTGCATTCTTATGGAACTGCCTGTTTCTTTCCATCTCTCATTTATCACTTCTACAGCTGCATGGCTAGCAAAAGAAATGTTTTCATGTCCAATGTAGAGTAGCAGTTTTCAACTTATGAATACCTATCAGGACCAGTAAATATACAAACTGCTTCAGAAATTAAATTAATATGCATATCCTTCACATCTTTCTTTCAATGCTTGTGAAACATTCTACAGACAACAGACATTTTGCAAAAAAAACCCTCTCTAGAAAGAGCCAGATCCCCTCTGGGTCCTTATGTTTCATATTCCCCTTTGTGAATGTGAGATGCTCAGTAAATCTGTGAGTGAATTGCCTCCCATAGAGGAATGATTTGAAAGATGATTTGGCACCCAAATATCTACCACTGTACCTGGCTGGTCCTCCCATATCTCAGCTAACAGTTGTATGCAGGCTAAATCTGCAGAGGTATATCTATATGTGTGTTCAGGATTATATCAGGTCAAACCCAAGCCTCATTATTACAGCCATGTGGTTTCTAAACAGGAGCTAGACTGCACCCACATCTTTGGGCACGGCCAGCTCAGTCTGTCCACATCTGTGTGCACAGATGTGCCTGCTAATGCCTACACTCTTTCAGGCATCCCACATGGGATCCCTTTCTTTCCTAACAGCCATGTTCCCATGCGCTTCACTGCTGCCTTCTCTCTCCTTTGTACATTTTGTCTTAATCTTTGCCTTTTTGTCATCAGGTAGAGCTTAGAATCAGAAGTGATACTTGTTTCAGGGAAGGTCCTCGCAGATCCAGAGATCCACAGCAAAGGGAATTTCACAAGGCTGCATCACTTGGCCTATGATTTGTCAAAGACTTACCTGTATGTATTTAACTTCAGGCACTGTGAAGGCACCCTTCAGGCAGCACTGAAGTCAGCTGAACTGCTCACAGAGCACAAAGGGCACTGCATGCATATAGGCACTCCCTCAGTGGAGCCTGAGCCTATAGACACACCGAGGCAGGACTTTTCTCCTTGCTGTTATTTGTATTAGAATTATATCTCACTCAGACTGTGCATTTCCCCTGTCCCCAAAGTGCTTTACAAAGGAAGTCGGCACCAGAAGCCGACTGCAGCAGCAGAGGGGCAGGAAGAGCATGCGGCACTAATGAGTCCTCTCATGTTTGCCATTTAAGCCCTGTCCCTACAAAGTGCCTTGAAATTTGAAGATGCGAGGTGCTCTAAAAAGCTCTTTTACTCCCAGTCTCACTTGTTTATTTGACAGACGTGCTACAGCAAAACATGGTCTTCCAGGACATGCGATGCTGTCATATTCCATGAGTGATCCAGCTCAAGAAGCAGGCCAGTGTTCCAGGATGCTGGGCCTTTGATTTTGTCAATATCACACATCATGTCGCTCAAAAATGGCCTCTGTTGCTGCCAAAGTTTGGGAATGCTGGTGATTAAAAAAAAAAATTATTACATTAGATTTCACAGTCTGTCCAAGAGACGAATGTTCCTTATCTATTTTGGTTTTATTTTTTTTTTCTTGTTAGTGAGTCTTTTTTTTTTCTTTAACTGAACCGCCTTATAATCAGCATCAAGCAAAAAGCTGTTGAATTTTCTTCAATGTTTTGGAACTGCTATACAAACTGATAACCCCTTTTCTCCATATTCGCTCTCCCCTCAAATGAATTAAATAAAAAAAAATGCAGGATGCAGAGGTCCTCCCTAGAGATATAAGAGCAGAGCCTGCCTTTTCCTTTGCAAGTCTGAGCAGATGGTATTATCTGAACATACAAATCAGAATTATTATGCTCTTTATAAAAAGGTACACTGAGTCTATGAATAAATTTAGCATAAAATTCACTGTTCTCCTGAGACTTCAGGAATTAGTAAAAAATCACATGCTGACTCCAAACAAATAGTCATTACAGGTTTCTGAAGTGGAGAGCCCATTCTCTTGGTGAAGTGTCTGGTGAAAAAAAATACAGCTCCTCTGTCCTGCTGCTTGGACTCATAATATTTTTACCATATTGAAAATCTTTTTAGGAAGGAATTTACGTGTGAGTGAATCTCCAGGTATGATTTCATAGTCCATCAACAAAAGTGTTTCCTGCATTGTTATGAAACTGATATTGTCAAATTCAAGCAACATTGAAGTCTCTAAAATCTTTGATTGGATTAAAAACACACTAAGATTTGTAAAGAGAAAAAAAATTGGCATTTCTGTTCCTTTATTTTACTGTCTGATTCTTGAGCTCTCCAGGTTTCTTCTTCAGGTTTTATTTCAGCACGTGACAGCTGTTTGCATTATAGCTGAGATTCGTACACAATGTGGCGGTCCAAGGAGCTAGAGTTTGATGGAAAACAACAGGTTTCCTCAAGTCATTTGATAAACTTTGACGGCAGATTGAGGGAGGTGATCCTTCCCCTCTGCTCAGCAGTGGTGAGGTCACACTGAAGGGCTTGTCCATTCTGTCCCTTCTATCCAGTACAAGAGAGACATAGATACACTGGAGAGAATCCATTGAAGGTCCACAAAGATGATTAACTGACAGGTAAAAAACTGGATGGCCAAGGCCAAAGAGTAGTGGTGAATGGAGTTAAATGCATTTAGCCGGGATTGAGCATACTCTCAGTAAGTTCGTGGATGACACTAAATTGGATGGGAGTGTTGATCTTGTGGAGGGTAGGAAGGCCCTACAGAGGGATCTGGACAGGTTGAATCGATGCGCTGAGGCCAACTGTGTGAGGTTCAACAAGGTCAGGTGCTGGGTCCTATAACTTGGGTCACAACAACCCCCTGCAGTGCTACAGGCTTATGGCAGAGAGGCAGGAAAGACACCAGATGGAAAAGGACCTGGGCGTGCTGGTTGACAGCAGCTGAACATGAGCCAGCTCTGTGCCCAGGTGGCCAAGAAGTCCAATGGCATCCCAGAATGTATCAAAAATAGTGTGGCCATCAGGATCAGGGCAGTGATCATCCCCCTGCATTCAGAACTGGTGAGGCCACACCTTGAATTCCGTGTTCAGTTTTGGGCCCCTCACTACAAGAAGGACACTGAGGTTCTGAGGTGTGTCCAGAGAAAGGCAGTGAAGCTGGTGAAGTGTCTGAAGCACAAGTCTTATGAGGATTCACTGAGGGAGCTGGGGCTGTTCAGCTGCAGAAAAGGATGCTCAGCCTTATTGCTTTCAACAACTACATGAAAGAAGGTTGTAGTGAGGTGGGGATGTGTCTGTTTTCCCAAGTAATAAGTGATAGGAAAAGAGGAAATGGCCTCAAGTTGTACCAGGGGTGGTTTAGATTGGATATTAGTCACCAAAAGATTCGTCAAGCATTGGAACAGGCTTCCCAGGAAGTAGTTGAGTTACCATCATTAGAGGTATTCAAAGACATGTAGATGTTGTGCTTAGAGGCATGGTTTACTGCTGGATGTGGCAGTGTTAGATTAATGGTTGAACTCAGTGATCTTAAAGGTCTTCGACACAAGCAATTCTATGATTCTAGCTCTCATGTTTCTCAGATAGGTTGTGGAGTCCCCATTCTTGGAGATATTCAAAAGCCATGTGGACACAGTCCAGGGCAGCCTGCTCTAGGTGGCCCTGCTTGAGCATGCAGGGTTGGGCTAGATGACCTCCAGAGGTCTCTTCCAACATCTGGCAGTTTGTAATTCTGTGACTTCCTTCTATTTTTTCAAGATATATTCAGTGCCATCCATGCAGCACACAGGGCTTCCTTTATCAGGCGTCTTTTGTTCAGACAAAGCTCTTGCTGATAAAGACTAGAACTATAATTGTCCTTTGGTTAATCCTAGGGAATGAAATTATATATTTGAAACTACTAACTCTTGTGCCAGGGCAGAATCTTTGTACGGGGCAGTTCTCTGGCATTAAGAATCAACTGGAGGGGAGTTGAAATACTGGAGCATTTAGAAAGAAAAAAAATAAATCACAGAATTACTATTAGTGAAAAAACTAACACCATCTAAACAGTCATGCAGTGCAGGGTCTATTAGCTAAAGTCCCACACTCAATCAAAGCACTCTCAGACTGATTTAAACAAAATCTTTTCCAGTTCTGTGCTGATGTTGCTGATGACATATTCAGTCTCATGGTCACACATAAAAAAAAAAAAAAGAACAAAATTATAAAGGGTCTGGCTTCTCTCAGTCAAAGAATAAGTCATATTTACTCAAGTTTTATGGTAGTAGTGGGAAATTGAATCTTGTCATCTGAGCAGAGATAGACTAAATTACCTGTATCCTAGAAAATGAGACTAATAAGAAAAATTCTATAATCCAAGTGTTTCCTGTGTCAGTGGTCTTACAGAAAATCTATTGGTTTCCTATGAACAAACTTCTCATTGTTGTCAACAGACTGCAATAGGATATCACTTTTGTGTGCCATTCATCTACCTTTTATAACAATGTAATTCTACCAGAGTAAACAATGGTACCTGAGAGAATCCATAAATAGGACCAAGGCACTTGAAAATAAGGCCTGCTTATTTGTCTGTCTGTAAGCTCTATCCCAAAGACATTTCCAAAAATTATTAGAACAATAATAACAAGTACAGTACATTGAGAAGAACTGGCAAGGAAAGATTAATTTTAAAGAAGGAACATGAAGACAGGTTTAGAAATTTGTGTTGAAGCACAGACTTTGCACAGACAGTGTGGTCCATATATGCATTACTGGCCATAAGGGATGTAGCTCAGAGGGCTTATTGGCCCTGGGAAAAGGAACTAGAAAACAGGTCCTGCTTTCCCCTTTCCTGCTTTTCTCCTTCCTCCTCTACTCCATCTTCCAACTCTAACCGTGGCTATCCTAATGACGACAGAAAACATTGAGAAAAAAAGAAAGTAACCACTCTTCTGTCAGTTAATGGAGCTGAATCAGCTTGCTGATGGCTTGGAGAAAAGCTGGAGAGGGCACAGGGGAAGAGATGGGCAGGGACAAGCAGTATTGTCATTTCAGCAGAAGCCACAGGGTCAGCACAGCCATTTTTGCCTGCTACATCTTCATTACAAAGCTCTGACTGCACTGATAACAAAACACCATCAGTGCATATTTCCAAGTTCCCTATCAGTTACTTGTGGGTGGGATTACCAATTACCTACCAATAGAGTCATCCTCTCACCCCCACCACTCTGCTTTCTGCAAAATATTTTCCTCAAACACCACACTCAGTGAGTAACAGTCCTATAACTGTAGATAATTGGGAATTCCCTGCTTAGCTTACTTTTTCCTTCCTGACAAAGAATTGCTTATTCATCAAAAATAAAATTCTTCTTTGAGACAGTTTAATTGCAATGAAGTTGCTGTGACAGGCTTCCAAACCTGACTGAAAACTGCGCCTGGCCTCCTACCAATCTGCCTTCCAGCTGGAGGACAAGAAACCCCATTTTTTGGACTGCTCCCTTCAGTTCACTGTCCTGGAAGGCTGATGAGGGATGGAAAGCCCAGAGCCTGCTTGGATACTGAGCTTAGAAGCTTCAAAGTCTCCAAGTCCCCACCTCCTGCCTATCACAAGGCTTTCATTGCTCCTGGGCTTTAGGGATGCTGGATTGCAGCTCAGAAGTGGAACTGAGAAGGAAATGGGAACCTGGAAGCTCCATATTCAACAGATGCTATGAATCTTTTTTTTTTTTGCTTCTCCCCAGCAGAAGTCAGATTCCAGTACAAGTGGGATTGTTCTCAGTCACCGTGCAAATTTGAAAATTTTTTATTTTCTAGGTTTAAAATGAAAACAGCATTCAAACCCTGGCACACAGTTTCTGTGTAGAGCTCCACCTACTAATATCCTTTGTAACTAAAAAATGCAAAAATACAGTCTCCCAGACCCTCTCTTGGGTAGAAGTCTCCAACATATCAGTGACAGTTTTTAGGAGCATTACAGCCCCATAGTAATTGTAAAAGTAATCATACTCATCTGTTTAAAGAAGACATAGAATTCCTTTCAGAACCCACAGCTATTTTCCCAATAATTGACTCATTGTGGGTCCCACAACAATATTATTTTTCATTCACTTTTGTCACAGCACAATACTATTTATTGCAATTGCATGACTTATGAAGCAAGCCATAGGCTTTCCATTTTCTTATGGACTTTGTTTTATCTTAATTTCTTTTTCTTTGATGTCACTATGCTGTTAACACAAATATAATATTATTACAGCTTAAGAAAAACTCCTCTCCACTAGCTCAGTTAACCATAGCAGAAAGCTCAGATGTGTCTAGGGTGTATTTTACCCTAAGAACTGAAAAGTTACCCTTATATGAAAATCAAGAGGATCAGAGCTAAACAGATGAACATGAATACTCCCTAGAGGGTTGCCTTGCTTCGAAAGATGCCATGGTATCATTTGTATCATGGAGAAACATGTTTCTTCTGTAATGGAAGGTCCATTTTCATTTTTTTAATGTATCCAGAGAAAATATCTGCACCTGTAT